TGGAATGATGCCGACTGGGGACGTATAGTCTTTAGCGACGAATCCCGCTTCCAACTGTGTCCTGATGATCATCGAAGACGTGTTTGGAGATGCACAGGGCAGAGGGGGGATCCTGCCTTCACTATTGCACGCCACTCCGGCCCTTAACAAGGCATTATGGTCTGGGGTGCCATTTCCTTTGACAGCCGGACCCCTTTGGTCGTCATTAGAGGTACACTTACTGCACAGTGGTGCGTCGACGACATTCTAAGACCTGTTTTGCTACAGTTCCTTTTTCAGCCCCCTGGTCTGGTTTTTCAGCAGGCAATGCCAGACCACTTACGGCACGTGTGGCTAGCTAGTCAAACTCTTGCTTGGCCTGCCAGATCACTAGATCTCTCTCCCATCGAGCATGTCTGAGATATGATGGGAAGGCGATTGCATCCGGCACGGAATGTTGATGACCTCGTTCGACAATTGGATCGAATTTGGCAGGAAATACCGCAAGAGACCATTCGGGAGCTTTATCGGTCTATGCCACGCCGTGTGGCAGCTTGTGTCCAGGCTAGAGGCGGATCTACACCTTATTGAACTTGTTACTGTAATTCTGCAATAAATTATTCAATTGTTCTGAAATTTTAATCATTTACTATTCTGTACATTGCCTTCCTGTCCACCAACTTTTGCTTTAATCGGACAACTCCTTCTTGGTGCATCGATGTTTCTGTTATAGAGTGTATGTATTTCTCTTACACGGTGACTGATTCTTCTATTAGGACCATAATTCCCAGATTGCGGTCAAGATTCATAATCCGTCGAAAAAAAGATATAAAGATATGTTATTCATGGAAAGTATGTTTTTGTGTCTGATCTCATGATTCAAAATAAGGCTGTTCAAAGTAATTAATTTTTTATTTATTTATTAATCTTTGTCACTGAACACACTTTTAATACTAACTCAGAAATTTTGAAAATTCTTTTCAAAGTTGACGAACTTCAATATCAGCCACCTGCATGTCAATTAATCAAATGCTGTATTATTGAAATTTATGATAATTTAGGACCATACTTGAAAGAAAAAGTTCGGTAATATGAATAGTTTTGAAATATGAAAAAAAAAATCTATGTTCTGAAAGTACCATAGTGATATTCCTCTTTAGAGTCTTCTGTAACGATCTCATTTAAAAAAATTTCGGAAAGGAAATTAAAGAATATTCATATTTGGGACAGAAATTAATATTTAAGTGAAAGAAAATTAAACACGTTATCATAATCTGCGAATCACTAGTCAGGAAAGTGAGATAAAAACATAAAAAACAGTTAAATTGCTGGATAAAAGTGGGATGTGCCTCAAATTATCGTCTTTTAGTTCCTCTCTGTTGCCCTTTGCAATTAAACAGCCTTTGAGATTTTCAATCCCACCTTTTCCAGTAGTAATTTGTTAGATTTCGATAGTATTTTAGTTTGTCCCTAGTTTAAATATTAGTTTATAACAACAATATTCTAAACATGAGTATTAAAGATAGACTTTTGTATACTTCTTAGTTATAAAAACTGATACTAATTGCTAAAACTATGGTTCAAAAAATTATTTTGATAAAATTGACATAGTTGAAAATTTTAAGGTTCGTTAACAATTTTGATAATAAAAAATAACTCATTCATTGATTTGAAAACAAATAAAAAATATTAATAATTCAATTAAAAGATACCAGCTGTTTATTGCCCACGGAGGTAGAAATCTCTAATTGCAGATAAAGCTAAATTATTATCTTAGTAAAATCCAATAATGAAGAAGTTGCTGCACTGTTGTAAAATAATCTGAAAATATGTATTTGCGAAACGAAACAGCTGCTTCAAACTTATCAGATTACAATGAATTTCAAAATAAAATAGTTTTTTATTGTTAGATACATTAGTGGATAATTTGTCGGTACTGCTCTTCGTTTAACAAATAACGAGTAAGTATATTTTAATCGTGCACCATAAATTTGGATTCTTCGTTATCGTCTCAAAAACAAATTATCATTTGACTCATTTGGATGTTTTCAGAAACATTTCTGCGATATTGCATAATATGAGGGATAATATTTTTAAGAGATAGAATTTTAAATGGGAAAATTATTTTTTAAATTTTCTGAAACTCGCTGCATTGGAAGCATATACAAGATTTAACTTTTATTAATACAACTCGCAAACTATTACAAATAACAAGAAAAACATATTTTTTCGGTATTGCAACCTCTAAATCTTCTGGTTTGAGCATTTATATTTGAGCCCGCATCAGGAAATATTCACTTTTGAAACAAACCTTCATCTGCAGCATCCGTAGAAATTTAAAAGTTTGTTTTTGATTTTTCAAAGTGAAAAATTGCAAATAATTCTATCACAAATGTTAAGACAGAAGTTGCAATATACTGACAGTACCACATAGCTTTCTATCCATATACTTCTCTTTTTGCATTAGCTCAGAAACTAAAAAATTGTTAGATACATAAGCGGATAATTTGTGGATACATTGTAAATCTTTAACCAGTATTTGGTGCAAAGTTTCTCATTATCCCAAATATTAGTTAAATGAAAGATTATTTTACTTCAGTTACACCATAAATTGTTAGCTTGATTGAAAAATATGGTGGTGCAACTGATTGCACCAAAATTTGGTAAAAACCTCAAACCTTTGACGATGATTGTAAACTGAATGATATTTGTTGACGACGCCATGTTTTCATTACTTCTCGGTCTCGGTGCATCGGTACGATTAATGCATGTTGTTTCAAATATCAACTTATTTAAGTAGGTAAATGCCTTATTTGCATTAATCAAAGTTAATTTCTTTTATGTTGTCTTTTTAAACTTGGTTGGCGGTATAAAATGGTTAGAGATATGTCATAAAATAAGCTACTTGCAGTAAATAGTTTTGTTAAGGCAAATAGCAACATTGGCCAGAATTTGAGTGCTTTGAAAATATCTAACAATGGTGAAACCTTCCTCTGCTTTTATAAAAGAATAAAAATAGGTGTTTTGTTTCTTCAAAACAACCTATTTTTGGTGCAACCTTCTATTCTCATTTGGAGCTAGTGAAAATACCAATATATGGTTGTTATGAAATATTTTGGTTTTGTTGAAGGAGTTGATGATTTTACCATTCGTTGAAGAAGTTGAATGTTGATTAGCAAAAGTTGAAGACGATGTTGATTGGCGTATTTCCATTTATCCATATTTTATTCCGGAGTGATGTCGGCAAGCAATTATTTACAAAAACCATAAATTTCTTTATAAAGAATCAAATTATAATAAATAAAAATGCTTTATTTTTGAAATTTATGTAGAGCTCTAAAGTAAAGATTAATCTCAATTTTAATATAAATATACATTAACAAACTATAAATTCGGAAAATGGCCCGAAAGGTGTGGCTGCAGGGGTAAGCCCAACAGGACACCTCCATCCACAAGAAATCAAAAATGCGAGTGCCATGTCACAGTTTTCGCCTAGGAAAGTTAAGCGATTTATGTATTGGCTATCAATTAATTAAATTTAATACCAAAGTTCTTTCTCTTAGCCTTACACATTCAAAAGTGTTGGCAGAAAGGAAAGCGTGAGAAATAATAACGAATTTTAATGAATCCAAAACATTAGCATACAAATAAAGGTTTTCGAATTCTTTGCTCTCGTGTTAGGTAGATGTAAAGGGAATCTCAAAAATAGATTTTATTCTGCACTCAATTCAAGATTGTGGCATAAAAAGATTGCATATCATATTAATGATTTTTATTTATTGAAAAACAATTAAATAAGATAATAATGTGGTTTTTAAATGCTAGGAAATATATCATGCATATTTCAGCATGACAATGGTAAAATTGAGCTCCATTTTATGTAGCCAGCAAATGAATATCAATTTTTGGTGCAATCTTTTTAACAGTGTACTGTTCCTCGTTTAACAAATAACGAGTAAGTATGTTTTAATCGAGCACCATAAATTTGGATTCTTCGTAACTGTCACAAAAATAAAATATCATGTAACTCATTCAGATGTTTTCAGAAACATTTCTATGATGTTGCATAATATGAGAGATAATATGCTTAAGAAATGAAATTATAGTTGAGAAAATTATTTTTAAATTTTCTAAAACATGTTACATTGAAAGCATATACAAGAGTTAGTTTTCTTTCAATACGACTTGCAAATTAATAAAAAATAACTAGAAAAACATGATTTTATGGTGTTACATCCTTTAAATTTTTTGATTTCAGCATTTATGTTTGTGTTAAAATTTTCATCCTTAAAGCAAAACTCAAATATACAAAATCTGTAAAAATGTAAAAGTTTGTCTTTGATTTTTAAAGTGAAAAATTAAAATTTTTTGATCATAAATATTTAAACCAAAGCTGTCCATGTACTGATTGCATTAGCCTAAAAGCTGAAACCGTTACAAGGATCTGCAACACTACCAAATTGAACTCCAGAAAGTGCGATAAAATATATGTATTTGAGTGCTACACTTTGCAGGCAAAGGCAAGAATGTGTAATACTACAAAACAAGATGAAATAACTAATTCTATTTAAAGAAAGTACCTGAAACTAATTAAAATTATATTAGTATGGAATTTATTAATTGAAATAAAAGCAATTTTGAAACAGAATAAAGTCTGAATAAAGAAACAGAATTTTGAAAATAAGTCATCTGATATAGTAAACATCTTAACCCCCTAGTCAAATTTACACTGTAAATCACTAAAATTGTTTTCTGTAGAATTATATAGATAAATAAAGCTTATTAAATGGTTAGTAACGGAGAGCAAAATAACAGAGGGGAAGGTCTGAAGAACCAATTTCGCATGAAATATTAAAATTTTAGTCATTCCTGAAAAAGTGTAAATTTTTGTTTGATGTTTTCGATTTTAAAAACTGCCTAGTTTTTTATTTTTTAACATTTTTGTACTGTATCGATTAAAATACTTAAAAACAAATAAATTTAATTTTTAAGATATATTTATACTATATGGCAATATAATGCATGTAATAATGAGTTCCATTATCAATCCATACATCTTGATCTGTGGTTGTATTAGTCGTCAGCAATTAATATAACAGTAAAAATAAGCGATTACAAATATCCACATTTCCAACACTTTCTCATGAAACATTGATGCCATTTGTATGGAAAACATATTTTCTCTGAAATTTTTCGATGTACTTTGGAAATAGAAGAGCACTCAACGCTTCACAAAACTGCATTTTATTATTTTAAAGCATTTCTTAAATTAAATATTCGCTGTCGAGATGGCGTAAAAAGTTGAAGGTTAAAAGAGCAACTTCGTAAAAAATAGTTTTGATAAACTAACTGGCTCATGCAAACATGAATAAATATTTTTAATAACTCCTCATGTCTAAGTAAGCCAATCTTTTTTTCAAAAATATTTTTAACATGATTGTAAATTAAATTCTGCAGCAAAATTTGTCTTCTGAAAGTAGTCGTAGTGACTACATTTCAAAAGTATTTCGTAATCACTACTTTAAAAAAATAATTGTAGTTAATTACATTTGTAATAAAGTAGCTGCAGTTATAGCTAACTACAAAAATGATGAAGCTTTTCGCCCACTGACTTAAATATACGCGTTCACATATTCCTTTTTACTCCGAATTGGAGCATAGGGCTTCTATCATAGCTTTCTATCTCACTCTATTTCTGGTCCAATATTTTACCTCTCTCATTGTCTTTCCTATTAGTTTACAATAGTTCTGTGCCAAGTACTTTTAGGTCTTCCTCTTTTTCTATTTCCTTGTGGGTTCCAATGAAAAACTTGTTTGACTTTAAATTTTTCAGGTTTACGTAGAACAAAACCAATCCATTTCCATTTGCGTTGTTTAATATCCAGATCTATTGCTTTCTGTTTCGCTTTTCTAAGGATTTCTTCATAACAAATTTTATGGAACCACTTGATACGCAAGATTCTTCTTAAACTGTTGTTAATGAATACTTGAAGTTTTTTCATGCTGTTTTTATAGCAGTCTCTGATCCATATAGTAGGACAGATTTAACATTAATATTGCATAATTGATTAAAAAAATTTGTAAGGGATGTGGTATTTTTTTACTTCGGTGACGAGTAAAAAAAGGTACGGTATAAGCTGGAAATAGGGCAGTTTAGGAGGTCCTGTTAGAATTGTTACAATTTGTTCACCAACCCTGTTTTCAGGATATATATTTGCCCCCTAGATAATTGTCGGGTGGTAGTTGCGGGTAATAACCATCCTCGTGTCACAAGCCGATTCTATAAAGTTTAATCCTGGAGATTTAGCTGGTCAGTCCATCTGTTGAATATCTGTACTTTCCAAAAAATCGACGACCAGAAGAGTTCGTTGTGATCAAACCTCCGCTGTCTTAATTGTTAATTTCTTAGAAATTGGAGTGAAGGGAGCTCGCTTGTATGGTTCTCACCATACAATGGTATGAACGAAAGACCCAGTACACCTGTAATATCTGTAAAACGACCATAATGACTGCAAAGTTTGTGATAAACACTCTGGATCTTTTTCAATTCAACATAATTTTCACAAACCATTTTTTGCTTATTTTTTAGAGAAAAAATATTTATGAAAGCTTATAATTTCTGAAATTTTTCTTTAGGTTGAACATGTTGGCGATACTTTTGTTGATGGCAACTGTGTTTGCAAGTAGGTTATAAATATTTTATTGATTTAAATAAAATTGATATATGGTATCATGCCAAGAACACGAATTAGCTACTTGGGAAATTCAGATTCGTATTTTTGGCTCGCTTCCAACGCTGTATAGTACTATCACTATAAATTTGCGTCTATACAGCTAGAAATATAATAATTCGTGAATTTCCAACTACCTAAAAATCAAAGTAAAAATGAAGCAATTTTAAAGTTAAGGCATAAAAATAAACTTTATGGTTTAGCCCCAATAAAGAAATTTAAAGTTTGCTTCCCTCTTAAAGGTTAACTTTACTCATCATTTTATATTTTCTAACAGAGAGAAATAAAATGGGTTTGAAATTCGAACATTGTTATCTATACAAAACAGGTAATTTCCGATGCATTTTTTTCTTCCCCTAAATCATATGAAGCCAAATATAAATTGACTAACGTATTACATTGATACTTAGGCAAAAAAAAATATTGCATGCAATGTATTTTTTAATGAATCTAAAGTGAAATCGGTGGAACTAATAATTTAAACATTATAAAAGTATTTGTGTATAAAAAGTACAGATTTGTACTTATACATATGTCTGCGTTTGACACTACTATGCTGACAAGCGGTAATGAATCCTATGCACTAAACACAAATTGAATAGATCAGAACCAAGACGATAGAATTAACAGTTTAGAAATAAAAAAAAAGTTTTAAAAGTTTTGTGTATAATGAGTGTAAATTTTTTCTTAAGGTTATAAAGGGGAAAGAAGGCATAGTTAACAATTTTCTTAAACTATAAAAAAATTAAATTAAAAAAAATTTTAATTATAGCAACTACGATTATTTGAAGTAGTGTAGGAAGAAATTTAACTTTTTATACTAAACAAACAGAAATCTAAAGCTCTTTTGAAGGTCCTTAATGTACCCCCTTACGCACGCTACATGAAAATGGGCACCCGCACAAGTTCTCACGTAAATCATAATTGAAGTACTTGCGAGCTTAGTTCTAACCTTACAATTCATAGAATCAATATGTATGATATGTTTTGGCAAATATTTATGTAGCATTCTACAGTTATAAAAATAACGTCCATACTACGTAATAACTTCCAAACTATTAGTATTTAGGTATAAACTTGAGTTTGATTTTATTTGATTCAGCTTAAAAATTATATATTGGATATAATACTTTACTTGTCTAGAGAGCAATTTTCAAAATTTCTCTTTCTGATCTCCCTCCCCTTCAATAAATTCAAAATGGCAGCTAAAGCTCACATTGGTAAAGGGAGCAAATTTATAGGACCGAAATCTTATAAGTATTTTTCAGCTTTTCCCTAATTTTAGTTTAATATAGGAAATATTGCTGTTTATTATCTTTGTAATTTTATTGTACTGAAGTTCATTTCCGTAGTCATTGTAACGCACATTTCCTTTGACACACTCTAATTTGTTGCTATTTCGACCAAAATTCTTCTCTCCACCATATATGTTTTTCTCATGTACTTAGATAGAGATACCGTGTATGGAGAAGAATTATTCTCCCATATTCTAATATTGATTCTTAATTAGTCGCTTAAAGAAATTTAATGAAAAATACTAAGCAACGGCTAAAATACATTTTTTACTTGACTATTTTTTTTTACTTACTATTTTTAATTTAAGAAAAGAAGCAGATCTTTTTCTTAGAGAATCTTTCTATGCAAAGTAGTAGTCAATGAAAATTATCTATCCCAGAATTGGTTATTTGTTGATTAAATTTTATTATTTTTTTACTTTACGATTATTAGTTATACTCAGTTATTAACAATCATACCGATGTTTGAAAATAGACATTCATCTCCAGGAGTCTACAAATCCTGGTTTTTCTGTCAGCACTGCTCTTAAAAAAACCGAAGCTGGCACCCAATATTTTAGTCAAATTTAATACGAAAACAAAAACTGTAACGCTATTTTCCATTCCATAACATGGTGGCACTTAAAAATTGGTCCTGACTTCCTGATACTTTGAGTTTTAGTAGATCCCTCTTCATCTCAATTTCAGTGAGTTATTCTTCATGTCAGTAGGCGTTTCAATAGGGCATTTTTATTGACTACTACGGCAGTTTATGTTAAAGGACTATTTGTGCGACATTCAAAATAGTTCGAAACTTGAAAATTTGTTAATACTCATTCTACAACATTTTTTCCAGCCAGTCAAGCATACTCAGTCAGACAGGCAAATGCTTACATTGACTTTATTCTACGAGAACCATTCATCAAAGAAGCCCAATACAGTAGAATTGATCCTTACAAGGTGCCTGACATCCACGTTAGCCTAATCAGCAGAAGAATCACAGACAATGAGGCCAAACTTACAAAGGGATCTATATTAAATCTATCACGAGTTCGAAGATCTGGAGATTGCTCAGTACCCCTCTGGCAGTCAGCTAATGTCACTTTTAATTGCGTTCTTCAATTTCCGGGATTAGCAGTTAATTATACTGCCAATGTGACTTACGACAGTATGCAATTGATTTTCTATCCAAAAGCTGACGTGAGAGATACAGAAGTTTCCATACAAATAACCACTACTAAAGAAGAAAACATTCCTAATTTAAAGCTATTTTTCGTTACTGATGTTGGTCACATGAAAGTTACAACAAAAATGATCACAATTGGAGATATATCAAATGTCATAACCCCACCTATTCGAGACGCAATCTTAGAACAAGCTACAACAAATATGCATAAAGCTTTAAATGGACGATTTAAAGATGCTCTTGCATTTAGTATCTACAAAACACCTGTTCCGTTTGTTGGAGATTTTTCTCAAATTGTAAACAGTAAATAATAAAAAATAAACGAAGTTATATTGCATATTCTTTAATTTGCTGATATATTTTCATTCTAATTGAATACAATTAAATCAGTTAATCAAACTCTATAGTTGAATTTAGTATTTTAACAATAATTTTAGACATTCTGATTTTGTTCTTAAATAAATGTGGCTCTTGCAAGAGTGAGCATTTAGCGTTTTTTAACTTCAACCAAATTAATTTTGGAAAAATACTGAAATTGACTATAGAATTGGCAAGTTTCAAATTCAAGTGGCACATTTCAAATGCCCTAAGAGACTTCAATTATCCAAATTCCAATCATCCTAATAGATTTAAGCTGAAAGGGACAAGCAATGGTAGCTACAGAATAGGTATAGAGCGGCATTCGTGAGTTTTATAAAGAATATTAAACTGGAAGAAAATCACCTTAATTTTGTTCTTTGACTGAACTCGAAGAAAAACAATGATACCAAAACATACATAGTAATGAAATCTATAAACTACGTACTACATAATTACATTTTCAAGGAGTAACTCACTTCCTCCTGTGCACGAAAAAAAGTTGATGTAGTAAAAAAGAGGAGGAAGTGTCCCACAGAATAACCCTTCTGTTAATAACTAATATATCCGCTATATTCATATATGATTTGAAATATGACATATTTCATACCATTTACAGATCCCTGAAGAAAAATAGCATCATTATTATCCTAGGTTTCAATGATTGAAGCCTCCATTGACTGAAACTGTCACAGAAGGAAACGGTTTGCCATTGGTATTTGTCTTAATGAGGATAACTCCTCGTTTTTTGTTGGGGATTGATGTAATGGAAAAGTGCAGGTTATTTCATGACATGTACCCGATTGTAGAAAAACTATCCCAGTGGAGATTTTACAATGTAAATTAAAGCATTGTCTTGCTGGAAAATCCTATTTAAACCACAATTTCTCTCTGCAAATGGGAGTCAATGGGTTTCTACTATTGGTTGGTAATTGGCTCATTGATGGTGAGGGAAAACTTCGGCTGTACCATGCTGCATAGACGCACCAAAGTTCTTCAAATTGAGTTGCGCTAAAACAGCTTTCTGAACCGATTTGAATGCAATTTTCGACAAAGAAAATATAAAATTAATATAACATTGAAGTATTTTAGATGAAAGTTACAGGCACTAAAGCAATATGCTCATAGAAGGGAAGTGCCCATGGTGACGTTTCTTGGCATGGGTTCCTAAGCGATTCTTAAAACCTTATGATATGCTCTACCTTCCCTGGAAGTTAGTCGCAATATTTACTGGGCACCCAGTATATTATTTCCAATGTAGCCGGTGAGAAAGCATATGATTCTTTTGCTAAAGTGAAAATTAACAAATAGAACTAAAGCAGCAGCAACCAGCAAAGTGTAAACAAGTAAAAGTGGACAATTGAAAAAAATCGGACGGGAAAATTTTGCGTTGTAAAATTGGATAGAGGTACTCCAGCCTCCCATCAATAACAGTAGTAGAGAAACCATTCCTTCGGGGCCGGTAAGAGAGGGAGGTTGTCCGTAGTCATGGATCGGTCATGTCATTTAGGGGGAAAGAGGGCTGCTCACGATTATAAGTCATTAAAGGTGAGCTTAGAAGCATAGTCGGCATTTGAAAAGCAGCGACTGCTCTATACTTGAGATGGTCCGGAAGATTAAGGATAGTTATCTCCAGAGCTTTTCCCCAATCTTTACTTTTGCTCTGATGCATGCAAATCTCTTATGACCAAATTGATTGCTGAAGCAACAGATTCATAGCAACTCCTCACTTCCACAAAAAGGCTTCAAGGAAGGGACAAATTGCCAAAAAATGTTACCAATATAGCAAAGATATTATGTACTAAAAAGTTACTTTATTTCGGTAGGACACGTATTTTCCTTCTTTCTTTTCATGTTCGATGATTTTCTCTTGAGCAGGTGGGGCCAAAAATGACGTGCTCCTCGTAAATGTATATTTGCATTTGTATGTAGGCTTTCTTAACATAAATGTTTTATTCTTTTGGGGTATTTCTTTTGTCAATTTACTGAAAAAAATAGAGTTGGTTTTATTTGAATGTGACACCTTTTCGTTGCATATAAGTCAGATGAAGATATCAACAAACACGAAGACAACAGAAACATTACACGAATTCAAACATTATAATGAATATATTACGTTGTGGAACAATTTTTGTTTCTTGTTGCCTTTATACAAATACTTGATCTTGTCTAATTTGGGTGTGAAGATTTCAAATCTGAAAGCAGTTTTGCTCCGAAAGCAGCAGAGTTTTTTTAATAAATGATATTTTTAATCTACTTTTTGTCGAATTGTGCAAGTTTAAAAACGATATACATAGCATGGGTAGCGTAAATGATTTCGATTAACGTCTTGGAGATTTGAGGCAGTATTTGAACTATTTCCTTACAAAGCAAAATTGATGCTAATTTTAAATTTCGTGGAAGATAAATGGGTGCATTAAAAGGACAGATTGTTTACTTTTTATATTAAGAATTAATTTGAGCAAAGATAATATGATAAAAATGATAAATTATTAGCATGATAAATTAATTATGATTGATATCATGATTAATATGATAAATTAATTATGATAAAAATGGCTTAAGAAATTTTTTTAAAGGCTGTTTTTCGAGGCTCCGTCTTAATATGAAATGATGCTTTTTTGCGAAAAATATGCTATTTTCGTAACTGTTGTGAGTTTGCAACTGTTACTCATGACTGTTTAGGTCAAGTTTAGCCTATCTACAACCAGCGCTGTCTACGCTTATTTTGAAAATGTCGCAAAACGCCAATATGGAAAAAAGCCATAGTTTTATGAAAATTAAAAGTGTTATTCCAATGATGCATTACTTGAACTTATAAAAATTTCCAAAAACTGAGAATAAGGCAATGATTTTGATAATGCTTATCTAGGCAAAAAAATATGGCCAAATTGGCAATTTTTTTTAAAAAAACAATTAAATAATTTTTTAAATATTTAAGATATTTGTCTGTTCTAAAACCCAGAGACACGGAAAGATTATATATGTAGTTTAAAATTGTAACATTGCTTCAAGTGGAAGGCACTTAAACTATGATTTTTTTTTCTTCTTTTCTTGGTGACAGAGCTTCGAAGAACAGCGTTAAAGATGTTTTTTTGAACGGCATTCATAAGAAGGCCGCCATCATGAGCTTAGACAGACCACACACCCCACAGTGAGGAGGTAAGCGGTAAGTAAGAGACTTCCGTGAGGCAGATTCCCATACTTTTGGATTAGCATGCGCATATCTTCTCAGCGCATCCTAATGCAAAAAAGTATAGGAATTAGCCACCTGTATGCCTCTTCCTTACTGCTTGGTTCCTTATATTTGGCTTCATCTTGTAAGGCAAATGCTGGTTAGTTTCATCAAAAAGTTCTCCTCGAAGGCGAATTTCTCCCAATACTTGATGCAGGAGTTCCCTTGTCCTCTGGATTGCGTTCAAAATTACAAGACTACGGAGTTGAACATTAGTAATCGTAAACCCAAGAAATTGGGTCGGCTGTTCAACGACGGTTATGAAATAAAATAACTTGGCTCACACGCACAATTTTTCTACTGAAGTCAACATTGAACTGATGAGGAAGGTTAATGGAGTGCAGGTGTGTGAGTTGCTTAATTATGTGGATAGTATCAGTATGAAATTTAAGATAGGGTAGGGTCGATCCCGATTGTATGTCTACACTCAGATATTACAGCAAAGAATCATACTGATTTTATAGTATTGTACAATTTTACTTACTTAAGTTGATAGAGGCTTTAGAAATAATATAAAATTCATAATAATCTTTTAAAAACTATGCACTAACGTTTTTCTTTTTTAAAGAAATAAATTTGACTTCTGCATTATCCTGCAAGTTGAAAAAAAGTTTGATCAAAACTTCCAGAATATGGTAAAAATTAACCATGCTTCCGGGTCTTTGGGAGCACCAAAAAGCTTGGTAATTTTTACCAGAGTGCACTGGTAATGATTTTGTTAAAATTAGCAATAAAATATAGTTTTATAATATGTAATAAAATATGGTAAATATAGTAAAATATGATACGTTATCATGATACTTCAGATCATGGCATACTAACCAGTATTCTGAAATTTACTTTTCAGATTTGTTGCTTTTTTACTAAATGTGTGGTCATAAGAACTATAGTTTTGAAAATTAAAATTTGCCGTAAACCGTTACCATACGAACAGAAAAAATACTAAATAACTGATTTAAATATCGTATATTTTGATTTTAACCAATGAATGCGAAATAGTGCTGATCTAAGTGAAAGCAATAAAGTATCCCAAAGTATGCTTTATTTCAACTAAAAACTAAAAATAATTATGGCTGTCACATGTTTAAGTGAAAATGTATTTTTTAAAATCAAAGCATATTTTGTGTACTACCATTGTCAATAGCAACTTACACTGTGACAAAATTGCTAAAAGAATTGTTGAAAAGGGTAATGTTTAAATTTTCTTCCAAAAAAATTTAAGCATGTTTCAAAAAATTATATTTTTTTATTAAAAAATTTTTTTACTCTTCCGAAATATAAATTTTTTTTATTTTTATTTATTTTTTTACACAAAAAAAATTCATTTACATCCTTAACTTTATTAAGCATATTTTTCATACTTTTTTTATTATTTTGTTTTAATTTGGGTCAAAATAAGTGAAAAATATTATATTTAGCATTTTAATAATGTATAGTTATGAAATATAGCATGAAACACAGATGTCTTTTTCTGAGTTAAAGGTAATATATTTTAATCGTTACTGACTTAATTCCAAACAATAATTTTTCAAATTGCAATTATTTGCAATAATTAAATGTCTAAGAGAAGCAGTTATTCGTCATTCAAATTTCTTTAATTTACCAAAAATGTTTCACAAAACAATTATTGATTACTTTCTGAAGATTAATTTTTGAAAAAAATTCGAACTATTTTTTTCCTTTTGGATTATATACTTTAGTACAAATATAATTCCGATAATCTAATAGATTTTATACCGAAATATACTTTTATTTTTTATTAGAACGTCAGAAAAAATGCATAAAAGAAACACAGGTGTCTCATCTGTGTAAAAGGGTTAAGCTGAATATTTCTAGACATTCGTCAAAATAAAATCCTAGCTACGTTAATTCATAGTTAATTACACTTTTTACGTGTTAGAAGCAACTGCGTAGTTGATAAACGACATATTTGAACTTCCTTCAGATTAGCATGATTTTTATTAAATGATTTTCCGACATCTAATCTTTTCCACCATAGAGGATAACTAATTGTTGCTCAGTTTTAAACAGAATATCAAATTGCTTGAACACGTACCAGATACAGCAATATTTTTAATGCTCTTCCATTTTTTTTAGTTTTATATACTCCTCATAATTCTTATTATATTTAGAAAAAATAATAATTCAGTTTTAAATCATTTACGAAGTCGTACCGTAATCTTTTTTATTGAAATGCAACAAATCAGCTAATTAGGGATTTTTTTTTTTGTAAACAAATTCCTTTTTATGAATTTAAAACACGTAGTTCAACCCTTTGAAGCAAATAGAACACCGGTGTCCCTTTTTTATGTATTTTTCAATGACGCTCTAATTATATGCAAAAATATTTTTTAATTATAAAGAAAAACAGTTAAATAGTCTCTAAAAAAATCTGTTAGATTGGCGGAATTATATTTGTACTAAAATATAAAATTTAAAAAAAAAAGTAGTTCAAATTTTTTTCCCCATTGATATTCAAAAACTTGTCAAGAATTGATTTTCCAAGTTAAAGTTATTTCAATGATGAACAACTGTTTCTCTTTGATTTAAATAACCGTATATAAGGCAAATTTGAAAATTTGATGTTAGGAAGTGAGCCGTGTTAGGAAGATTTTACCTTGAACGTAGAAAAAGATGTATGTCATGTTGCATTTCATTATCATAGATTATTAAAATTCTAAATATAATACATAGATTATAAATAATGATAATATAATACACAGATTTTTAAAATGCTAAATATAAATAAATGCTAAATATGTACTTATTTCGATCTAAATAAATTATGAATAAAGTATGAAAAATATGTTTAATAAAAATTCTGCGTCAAAGGATTAATGCAGATTAAAATAAAAAAAATTTATAAACTTTTCTAACAATTAAATCTAAACACATTTCTCATAATATTCCAATTATCATATTGAAAGAATTAAAAAGTAAACAGCCTCATTAATCTGAAATTAAAACGTTATTTTAAAAGTTACAAAGCTGAAAATTATAATTTTAAACCTTAAATTCAATTTTATTACTTCTGTATTAAACATCTGTTGAGTTTTTTTCTCCATTGCAATTGCTATCATTAACAAGTCATGTCTTATCCCCAGTTCTGATAACATTTTATATTAAAACAAACTACATCAAATGTCAAATTCCCACGCTTTTTTGTTAGCATAGGCGCTACTAGAGCGATTTTTGCTAAGGCCAAGGTATGTGTTTCATATCGATTATTTATACTAATTAAGCTTAGAATGCATTCAAAAAAGTTTGTTTTATCTGAGAATGTACATTTTTGCATCTGATTTCAGTACTTAAATTACATGAATTAAAAAGAATATATAATCTGTACTTATTGAACCAATAGGATTGCTTTTTAGTACGTGAAAATCCAATCATAAGACATAAAGTTATTCAGTATTAGTTATCTTGAGCTTCTAATATAGTCGGTGTCATAAACTTAGCGCGCCATAAACTTCCTTTAACTCTTTATTTACCAAATTATTAAAAAAATAATAAAACTGAAGCATAAAACTTTTCCTCATTAATTAATGGGTATTATACACTTTGACATATAGTTTTTGATCTTCAATATTATTTTCAAATTTTTTCATAAAATTTTCAATTTGGGACTCTAGACTTCAATTTGGATTCTGTACAGAACTAATTATACTATGAACGCAGAAATTATTCCATAAAAAACATAAAGAATAGCAAAATACTTGTATATCTATTTTTTTCTAAAGATTAATTAAAAATATTAAAATATAAATCCCATTTATAATGCAATTAACAAAAAAATTTTGATTATTACGCGCAATTGCATTAGCTTAATTTGTTAAATTATATTTTCTTATTTGCAATTGTATGTTTTGTAAATTTTGTATTCAGGTGTATCAGGGTTTGGTGTAATTTTGATTTCTTCAGCTGTGAAGTTCAGCTGTCAAGCGCTATCTTCTTCTGTACACATCTGTAAAAAATAAGATTAATAAGTTAACATAAAAACATATAATTTAACAAATTAGTAGATAAGGCAAATCATGTTTAAATATTCCAATAAATGTAGCAAAAACACATAAAATAAGTCAACCCTATTCTCTATATAATTTACAAAATTCTCATTGCGTGAATATAAAATCCGTTGGGACTTAAAAATCCCAAAGAAAGATCAACGCATTATAAAATTTTAATTAAAATTAAAAATTTAATACTTCGTTTTATAACTAGTTGAAAATGTTACTGAATCAATAAAAAAATGACAAAGATTTACGAGATTGATTGAGATAGAAAACTGAGAATTGAGGAATCATAAAATGACATCCTCAAACGAAATATCAACAACTAAATAGTTCCATAGGTGATGATCAACTTCAAATGATCGTGTGTTGTAAACTAGAAATGATAATCGGAAAGTCATATTAAAGGGACAGATAAGTTTCGATGGGATATTTTGTTCCGTTTCAACGCTATATGGAAATATTATTATTGGGACTTAAGCCGATTGACCTTAACCGTTTACGTAACCGTAAATATCACTTACATCAAACTTTAACCGTCTGACGTAAGTGAAAAATTGTAGCATTTTATTTATGGTTATGAAATACAGCATGAAGCACCGGTGCCTTTTTTTTGCGTGAAAGGTAAAATTTTCCGAACACGGCTCTCTTCCAAACAAAAATTTTTCACATTCGCATTTATTTGCAGTAATTAGATATAAGAGAAACAGTTATTCACCAATAAAACTTCTTTATTGACAAAATCAGTAATTAATAAATTTGTGATTATGAATAAAAAAAAATTTCAAACTACTTTTTTTTTTTGAATTTTATGTCTTAGTGCAAATGTATAATTCCGCTAATTTAAAAGAATTTTATTAGAAACTATTAGACTGTTTTCTTATACTTAGAAAAAAATACTACATAAAAGGACAATGGTGTCCTGTCTTCGTCAGGGGGTTAAAATCCTGTTGGTATTCAAAAAGTCGTTTTCGTCCCCCTTTTTTCCGAATTATTTCTTATGGACATAAACCGTACCTCTCTTGTGGTCTTCAAATGTCCTATCTTCTTATCACTTTAAAGACTGTTATTTCATTTCGAAATCCTTTCTTTTTGGTCAAATCTCTACACGTAATTACTTTAATCAAAATCGTTTGACATACAATGAAAAAACATGCTTACCGAAAGCTATTCCTATTATTAATTTTTTTAATTGTATAAAACTTTTATAATGCTTGTCCTTTTGTTTCATTTTTAATAAATAGAAAAAAAATGGAATACAAAAAATATGGAATACAAAATTTTTATTGAGATGTAAACTATGTAGTTTTGCATGCTCCAATAAGAAAAATAACATTCGTTATAATAATAATAAATCAATAATAATCAATAATAATAATTCGTTATAATAATAATAAATTCGTTATAATAATATAAATTGTCAAAAATAAATGAATTCGTTATTTTCCGATCATAAATATTTAAAAATACGATTTTTCTTTTAAATAAATGGTATCGAATAGTATTCCTTTAACGGCATTTAACAAAACCTAGCATTAAAAAATTCAAAACTTCAAATCATGCCGTAGAATCATTTTGCACTTTGTCATTATCTAAGCTTTCCGCATCGTAAACCACTACTAACAATTCGAAATTCATAAACAATTCACATTTTTTCTTCTTTATTTATTACAGTGTCATATGTCAGATTTCACATGTCATATGTCAGATTTCTTTTATTAAAATTTAATTTAATTACCGTATATCTCGTTGGATAAGTTGACTTTTCAAACCCCTAAAATTTTAATGAAAATCAGGGGGTTGTTTTATGCACCAGTTAAAAATCAGACATTCGTTGATCGAGAAACATCGATCGATAACATATAACTCTATGACATAACATAAGAAATATATTAGCTATAATATAAACAATAAGTATGTATCAATTTAACCTTTTCGAGAACTCTTTTTAATATGCTATATACAATTAATTTTGCATTTACTCTCATTATATATTCTTTACATATAATTTATTTATTTATTTTCGATTTTCAGAAACAATATTGTAAAGTACGTTTATGGAAAAATTAAGAATTAAAAAAGCTTAACTAATTTATTCAAAAATATTTCAATATTTTTAACTGGAAATAATTTATTAGACCCAATAATTTTTTCATGTTTTTCAATTTTAGAAATTTTTATATTTGATTTTTTTCAGCTATCAACTCATACACCCGAAATACAAGAAATTTTTCTGTATCTTAATTAAAATAAGAAGTCTCGACTTATACTCCGGGATATACGGTACTCAATTTAACTTATATATTGATTCTCACGAGTCATTAACATTGAAAATAAGTTTATTACAGATTGAATATGAAGATACAGTTTGCGCAATTAAATTTTTTATTCAACTTACTTAACTTCAGTTAATTATTTTCAATAATTCACTATATGGACGTTTAAAATGTAATAAAAAATTGAAAAACGAAACTAATCGATCCACAATTTTATATGATTCTTATATTCTCTCTATTTTCAGATACAAATTACCACGATGAAATTCGCAGCTCTTTTTCTCATTATAGTAGGTGAGTAAGCCTTACACTTATGTTTTTACACCTTTTTTACATGTTATCATTAGTTATTTACAAGGCACTATAGACAACGAGGCTATACGAAGCAAAATAAAAAGTGTGCTTCCTCCAAAAAGAGATAAAATGCTAAACACGACGAGTAAAAAATTAAAAAAAAAAATAATGCACATTTTAATTTCCAGAGTGTAGTGACCCTAGATTAACGGTCACATTTTAAATTTTTATTTTTAAAACTTAGAGATTTTTACAGACTTAGCCGGTCGACCAGGGGAGACAAAATTAGGTTTTAAGTGGAGGTCAGTAAAATATTGTTTTTCTAAAAAAACATCATGGAGAAAAATTATGACATTTCAGAAAAAAGAATGCTATTTCAAAGTGTGGATTTTCCCACACTTTAAAATAGTATATATATATATATATATATATGTGTGTGTT